TCTAAATCACTATCCAATAAAAGAAAATTATTGAGCTGGATATCTAAAGTTACTACCCAGAGGCTACTCTGGTACAGTGTTTATAAATCTCTAAACAGTTAGGTATAATTGTCTTTCTGGGTTTTGAAAGAAAGCCAAATAGAAGTTTTAGTTACAACTGAAGATAAATATTTTGTGTTGGGCCCTGTTCATCTGGTGGATAAAATAACAAGTAAAATTCCCACAATGTAAGACTGTTATAGAAAAAAACAAGAAACACAAAAAACTAAATGGACTAGTCAATAGATGCTACCTGAAGAAGAAAGGATGAAAATGACAACAGAATGAAGGAAAGGAGAATTACTGGAGGTGTCCCAGCGTAACTGGTAAGGCAGAGCCCATCCCATACTCAGTACTCCAGGGTGCTTTGGAAAAATGTTATGACAAGTGAGTAAAAATGCTTAACATGGATCCAATAATCTCTGGTCTTCTCTCCAAAATAGTTTTTGATAAAATAACCTCAACTGACATTTGAGGGAGCAGAAAGAGAAACAGGAAGGACAATTAAAACAAATCTCCAGTACTGGAGGGTGACCTTTTTCTCCACCAGAAACACACCGCTTTACAAATCTTTCTAGGAAGACAATCAGTCAAGATCTGTAAGAGGAACTTCAAGATAAACACAGGGCTTCCTTGTTTATGAGTAATTCTGTGAAGAAGTGGACCAACTTTTGACTCTACAGCATTTTGTATTTCAAAAGCTGAGATATCTTAATGAAAGCGATAGTTTGCTGCAGCTTCAGTGGGATACATTTTGGCCTTTCTGTCCTTCAAATCTAGGTCTCCCAAAGGCAACAAACTGCCCTGATGACTTCCAAAAGTTCATTTTTGGGACATTAGAGTAGGTACCCCTAACCTCTGGCAAGCCTAGAGTTGCACAGTCAGCTTTGAAGTGTTCAGTGCAGACAGCCCTGAGAATGCTTCCAACGTTCAACAGCACAGCTCCAATTTTAAAGAGTTTCCTGTTCTTTTTGAGTAGAATTACACATTTTATGTAAAGGAGACCAGTAAATCCTTCCAGAACAGTTAGTAAGTTTTTCCTTCTAAGGAAGACAGCTTGTTTCCACTCACAGTTCTGTGTGGTCATGTGTTTGGTTGTATGTTCCTAGAGAGCTGATGATGAACATAGATTTGACAACTTAGATGACATCTGCTCTGGGTACTCAAGGGTCTTTTGTAGCTCTGGTCCAGAATATTGTTTTTTTCCTGTGTCTTGGAACAGTGAGTTGGATTTTTCTTCTGTAGGAGATCAAGGTGGAGCACTTTGCTTAGATAAGATGCAATTCTGGCAGGATCAGTTATGACTCAAGATGGTCAGGCCAGAGGTCAAAAATGTTGTTGCACTACTTATAGAAAGTCTGGATAATTAAAAATCCCCCCAAAAACCTGGGGATATTTTATTATAGAAGGAGGTATTATCAAGTCTTTGTTTCTGTATGACCTGCGTGTGTATTAAGTTCAACTTGAACTAGTAATGAGAAAATCCTTTGTTGATATAAACCAGATTATTTCAAAGACATTTTTTCAGCAGATAACTTAATCTATTGGGTACTGGTAGCCCTATTGTTACAGAACTTTCTCTGTCAGGAAGGCTTGCTGTCATGTGTCCACTCTCCTGTTCCTTCTACAAGATCTTTCCTCTCAGATTGCACCTGAGTTCCTTTTCAAAGATATGTCCTTGTTTGGAAAGGATATATTTGGATGGATACAGAGGGTTGGCTGGTGATGAATGCCTATGACTGGTAGTGACTTCTGTGTTAAAGTAGGTGATGAGGGTGGGGCTCTGGGAAAAAATTAATGAAATCCCCAAATCTGTGGATTCTTTTTCTGCTACCAACTTAGAGCAAAGGAGTACAGAGCCCTGTACTTCAGCACTGGGGAATGATTATGGCTTATCTGATGGTTAAATAGATTTGCATCCTGCTTTTTATGGCACACTTCTTGTACCAGTGTCATCTTTTGCCTCATGCTGGAGTGAAATAATCACAGGTACAAACTGGGAAGATCCTTATGCATTCAGTAATCTATCAATTAAATACTATTTTTTTCTTTTACAAAGACATAAACATAAATTATATATCAGGTTTTCATATGAGATTCCACTGTGTAGTGACTACATGATTATACATATGCAATACTACATATTTACTTAGAATAGCAAAGGTAAGGTTATACTGCTAAACCCCTCACCAAAAATCTTGCTGTTTATCCCATACATTTCTCAGATTGCTCACATATTTTGTTTTGTTTCTTCCCTGTCACAAGTCAACTGACATTCTGCCACACACCCAGATTTTCTAATGTCAATGTTGCTGATGATCAGTAACAGGAGTAACATAAAAGAACAGCACAGAAGATTCAAAGGATAGTGTTGATGTCTTAATCCAAAATCATACACTAAGATCTAGAAAAACTCAGATTGGCAATACTTAAGGTTTGTACCAGCTAATGTGTTCAGGATAATTATGTCAAGGAATGTACAAATGTAAAATGACAATTCTCTCTGTAAACAAAGGTGATTAATTGCCAGTAAGAAGCCTTGAGATTGTTCTAGTATTCTGCTTGTTGACTAGCAGAAGTTGAATCACCTAGTTTATATAATTGCCATGATAGTTGTGTCCACCATATGTTAAAGATGCATTTCACAAACAAAAATGTCACATTGCATATAATTTCCATGAAGTTTGTGCTATCTAATGATCTAACTGCTTCTGACAGTCTAATCATTGCATTCAAGGTCTTTCAAGAAAATTTACTGCACTGAAAGGAACACAATCAATTCAGGAGTTGTGGATATCATAAGCAGAGAATGTACTGGGAAGGTAATTATCTTCTGAAGCCACTGGGCTTACAAGAACCCCTCCTTAGTCAGTGCTCTCAACTAAAATAGGCTGCTAGTTACCTGCCTTATGTTATGTCCTGTTTCCCCAGAAAAGCTACAGAAAGAGTCACCTTTGTTTTTTAATGTGCAGACTGGTACTTACCTGAAGAAAATTTCTTGGAATGCATTAACCTATTGTGCCTCTGCTTCTCTGCATTAGCAATACTGAATAGGCCTAAAGGGATTTGGACCATGGCCAGTGTACACTTCCTGACCTATAGGGCTATTGCTGCAGCAGCAACCTGGGTATTACAGATTCATAAAACAATTCAGTCTGGAAGAGACATGGGAGGGGCTCTAGTCTGATTTCCTGTTCAAAGCAGGATCAACCGTAAGGTCAGATCAGCTTCTTTGAGGCTTTATGCAGTCAGGTCTTGAATACCTCCAAGGATGGAGAGTGAAAAATGACAGGTGTTCATGGAGTGCACAAGACTCATATTGTTAGATTTTTCCATTCTCATTGAGGGATGGTCTAGGATCCTGGGTACTCCCAGAGGTAAAACACAACAGTCAAGTGCTGGAAATGTCTCTAGGCTCTGACCAAAGATAGAAGGAAATTCTCTCAGACTGCTCATGCTCAAGAGCAGATTCTATTTCTTGATTAGTTTAATTATATGTGTGATAGGAGACTGTGAGAGGTCCCTCAAAGAACAGCCGCTAGCCTGGCAGTGAAAGTAGAGATCTGGTTTTGAGATACAGAATTTCAAATTCCAGGTCTAAATCAGCAAAACAGGGAACCTGCATGACTGTCTTCCACTTCAGCAGTGAGTTTCCTAATCATGACTATAAGTTATCATACTGTGAGCAAGTTAGTCTTACAAATTTATGAGGAAAAAACTCTAAAATATTTGGAGTTGTATTGCTTTCAGGCCACAGACTTAAAACTCGGAACAACCACAGGATTGAAAAAAAGCAATTCCTTTCTCTTCTTCTTAAATCTACTTTTTATCCAGAGAACTCTCCAATTTGATTTTGAAAAATTAAAACTTTCAGTTTCATGATAGAATTTAATTTCAGCATTAAATTACACTGTTTTATTGCTGAGTCTAAGAAAGAATTTTCCAAGTTCAAGTTTCCATACTCAAGAAGTTACACTGTTGCCTCTGATTTTTGGCTCTTAATTCCTATTTCCTTATTAGAATGTAAAGAGGATAACCTGAACTTAATCTTAGTTCTCACAGTCCTCGAGGGAAAACTATCTCTAGGTAAGGCTCACGGGCAAACTGCAGACCAAAGCACTACCCTTTCTACACCTACATTTATAGAAGAGCTAGATCCAGTGGGAATATTTACTGCAGCAGTTAATAGGTTTATCAAAGGTAGGACTTGAGCTGCATAAGCTGCAAGACCCTTCAGGGATGAGAAGATGATTGTTTTTACACTGATGGTCTTTGCCAGGGTGCTTATGACTGCTTTGCAGCTGCTTTGCACAGGCACAGATGGTGTAAAATAGCCTTTGGCTACCTATGAATCAGTCCCCTACTCTCAGAAAAGACTGAAGGATTTTGTTCAACTCCTTAAATGGGATGAGTACATGTCAAACCATGGGAAGAAATCAGTTTTGAATTAATTCTAAGTGGCTTGTTGAGCAAGAAGGCACCAGAGCTGTAAAGAAAATTTAAAATTCTTGTCCTTTTTATTTTATTTTTTTGGCTTGCATTACTCAAACTTGTATTTTCTCTGTGGTTGCAATGTGTTTTACATAAAAAAGAAATCTCATTAGACAGAAACTTCAGGTATTCCAAAGTGAGTATAAGTTATCATTGGCTATAGAACAGCAACTGCCCATGTAAGAAAGCCACAGTGAGAAAGTGGTGAATTTATGTATCTTCTAGGAAAATGTCAAAATGAGAAAAAACACCAGTTCCATGTTCATTCATTTTTCCTCTAAAAAATGTGCTTTGTGATGTAGCAGAGAAACTGTGTGACTGTCCCTTTAAAAGCCATCATACCAATCAGCAGGTTTAACTGTCAAGCAAGCTGATGTAGGGCTCTTTGAATTACTGAGTGAGGGATATTCTTCCTGCCAGGTCCTGTCCCCTGTAGGCACTGCAGAGAAGTATTATAGGGCAGTCCTTACCTTGGGAATTAGCCTGCAAGACCCCAATGCTGTCATCAAACTGCATAGATTTGATGTTGAGTGACGCCAAGATGCATTCCTTGTCCTGCAGCGAAGCATCATCAATATTATTCTGATTGGCTGACAGGATAACGCACATGTCGCAGAGGTTGATGTTGACAGCCCTTAAATCAGCCCGACTTAATGGCGTACCCTTCGGCACGGAGAAAAAAAAAAAAAGGAGGGGGGTGCAGAAGAGGGAAAAAAAGAAAAACAAATTAAAGATTGAGAAGGAGCTTTGGGAAATTATTTAACAAGTATCTTTTTTATGCTCTGACATTAAGCTGGTCTAACTATGTGCCAGGGAATAGGAGATGTGTGCTAATCTAAAGGGTAGTTGGTGCTGATGGCAGCATTTTAGGTTCAGTCTCAATACTCAGTCAAGCTATTACTAACAAACAAGAAACAGGAATAATGCCAGCATTCTACATCTCATCGGTGACTTGAAATTGTCTTGATTTAAGTTGCTATCATGTGGCAACCTCTGGCTCTGTGAATATAAGAAGGGGGTTGTTTTAAATGTCTATTTATCTACTACCAAGTCACAATGGTCTTGGGCAAAAGAAGGGCAATTTAAACAGGAAAGCATTATGTGTCCTACACATTTGAAATGCAATCAGGATAAAGCTATTTTTTTCTACCTAAAGCAATACACAGAAAAGGTTAATCCTTTTCGAAGCTCGCTTTTGGTGCTTCTAGAAGGAAAACACACTGATCTTCAAAGCTGTGTGATTAAACTCTTTGAAACAGAAACAAGACTTTATCCTAGTGGGCACAAGTCATGAAACATTCCCTGCTCCACAATTCTCAATCAGAGAACGCAATTGTTCAAATGAAATGTTGTGGTAGTCCATGGACTTTTTTCATAGTTAACAAAACTGAGATATGACACTTAACACGATATGTTTTGTTGAAAGATAGCACTTGACTTTCACACCCAACAGTCCACAACTGTAGTTACAGAATATTAATTCTATGTCACAGGGGCTGCAAGTTCCAAGGAAAAAAGAGATTTTTTTTTTTTTTTAATGGAAACTAGATTCTGCTTTGCTGTCTCACATGTTTTGGTACCCAAAAACCCTAATGATGAGGAGACATAACTGTCCCCTTGTCACACAGTGACTTCCATAGAGCCAAGTCAAGACCCTACTCTTCCATCCCCGATCATTCATGGTGAACACCTCCTGAACTCCACTGAGAGTATTCAATGCAAAAGTGAATGTAAAATGTGCACAGTGAAGAAGGAGCTCAATTCTTATTCAGTGACTGCCATATAGTCTCAGATACCAGCTTAATTATTCCATGTTACTTTCAATAATTTAAGGCACGAAACCTTGTGAAAAACAGTATATATCAAACAGATATGATTTCATTATAAACTACTCAAAAGTTTGGATATGATTATTCCTGCCACCTTAATCCTGCCCTTTGTGTCTATACTGTGCACCAAGTGAAGCAGGATTCCTGTGGGGAAAAATAATATGCAATCATGTAATTAATTAAAGGCTTAGTCTTAATGATTTTATGCAAAGGGACAGAATTAAGGCTGCCTGAGGATATTTAAAATTGGCATTTGCCTACTTTTTAAGAGTTTACTCAGCAGCTTAAAGGCCTCCTTTAATACAGACTTCAAATTACATGTCCACTTTTTTTTTTTCAAACCAGAACAAATTTTTTTATATTCAGCTGTAACCACATCTCCATCAGATATCAGCAGCAAGTTTTACCTCGTGAACCAAAGCACAGAGAAGCAGGAAGTGAGTTTGAGTGACCTCCCTTTAACACGATTCCTACCAGTATAATCTCAGAAATTTTAGTAGATTATTTAATTAGTAGAATTAAATCAGAATAATGCTGCTATTTTTAACTTTATACCATTTTATTTTGAACCAGATAGGCTGAGGAAAAAAAAAAATGGAAAAAGCAGTAATGAAGTCTGTGTGGTCTTCAGCACCCTTGATTACTGTGTCAGATACAATTCCTTTATATAATTCTGTATTTTTAAAGAGGCATTGAATAACTATTTAAGATGTTTAAGTCAAAATTAGTCTGAAACTATTCTACATTTGGGTGTAAACTGGGGAAAGTAAAGGTGGTGTATATTTCCTTAATGCCTCTTCAGAAGTCAGAATTGAAACTTTACAAAATGCATTATAATAATGGATACACATTATATATTGGAAGTAGTAGCTGGATTATATTTGGCTCCATAGTTCAACAGTATTCTGATTTCATAGTCTTTTAGCCTTCACAGTGACTGGAATTAAAAGGGATTGGCAGAAAGAGGAAGATATTAACTAACCAAATTTGATATTGACACTATTTTTGTGACAGCAAAGAATCTTCTGACACCATCTGTTGGATCAGGTTACAGAAAAAAGCCAAGGGCTAACACTAAAACTGCATTTACAGTAACAAAGACCTGCAGTCTGAATTAATCAAAAAGTGAAGACAGTCCTTTCATTCTATAGCTAATATTTCCAATTATTCAGTTAAGGTTACATCCATCATTGATTTATTTATTTTTACTGCTGAAACATAATTACTAAGAACTAGCAAACTCATAATTTTTCATTCTGGAAAAAACTATCTAAATTAACTTTACTCTGTAACATACAGAGCATTCTCTTTCATACTTATACCATGAGCTGTTTTCCCTCCTGCCTGTCATTTATAGCTAGGGCCACCTAAGATCACTAGCTTGGAGGGCTTCATTATTAGTCCTGGAGCTCTTGATTCTACATTTTGGGCACATGAGTGAATGATAACGATATCTAGGAGAAAAAGGACTTTTGAACTGTGGTTTTAGTGGTTGCAACCTACTAAAATCAATAGGAGCTTTCCATCGATTTAAAAAGGGTCAGGGTTTTGTTGTACACTTTCATACATGAGTACAGCAGGACTGTGAACTGAAATGCTGTGGCACTGTTCCTCATAAAGCAGGCCAGTCCACCAAAGAGTTTAAAAATACAGATAGATATTATGTAGATAAACTATATTTTTTCAAAGGTTTTGTGGGTAAAAATACATAAATAATGTCATAAATAACTACTGTCATTCTGTCAGGGAAATCACAACATCAGAACTGGCTACATGCAGTGCACTGCAGTCAATGTTCAAAACATAACACAGCCAATACATCTGGTAGCAGCTGAAATTCATCCGATGAGGATGACAAGGAACCAAACACTACGGCAAATATCTTCTAATAAGGTCTCACAGGGCTCTGTTTTCATAGACAAGTAAAGGCAAAAAGCTAAGTCCTCAGGCCTATAAGTAGAGAAAAGTAAAAAATACTAAGATCAAAGTCAATACGAATCTGTCCAGTTGGTGTCCTAAATAACAAAGTATCAATAATATGGCTTTTGAACTTACAGGCAAGATTGAAACCTTGGGGAAGTTATGCAGTGTCTCCCATTCCCTTCTCAGGTATTCAAGTGAACCCACAAACACAATGTGCTTGAGTTCATGGTAGTGAAAGTTGCTGGCTCGTAATGGCATCACTAAATTTCTTAATCCAATCAAAGCAGATTTAACATCCCCAAATATGCAAACGACTACATGCCCACTTAAAACTGTCATCGCTGCTTCACTTCGAGTCTAAAAAAAAAAACAAACAAAACAAAACAAAAGACAAGGGAAAAATGAAACAAAGGGAATCTTAAATCATATATTGAGTTTAAAACCAGGAAAAATACAACTGTCAATATTGTTCATGCACAAAGAAGCAGTTTGATAACAGCTGTTCATTTTACCCTTATTTATCTTTCATTAAATATGTTCAGAAGAAGAAAATGTCATTCTTGTTTGCAAATCTTTTGGCGTTTGGGAAGACATTGTATTGGACCAAATTCTGGTCCTGTGTAAGTTTCTACACATATGGATTGTGGCTCTGGTTATAATCAAAGCACTACAGGTTTAGCTAAGAACAGAATTTGACCTACTACATATTTAACCAATAGAAGGATTATAGAAAAGAGATGCAAACCCACACTCTAGCTGATGAATCACTGGTTGAGTTTTTTCAGGACCAATTTGAAAAGGAAAATGTGAAAGCCCAATGGTCATAGTAGCGCTTCGTGGTATTACCCAGATCTTGTGAATTGAGGACCACAGCCTCTTACAAAGTTCTTATTTTAGGACAAGCTGCTGTTACCCTGAGAAGCAACCAAAGAATGCTCTACACTGGATACTATGGATATCCACTATACTCCACAGAGCTTCTCTCGGTAAGAAAAAAATAGTGCAAGGTTGTGACCAATACTAAATTTTCAGCCCAATGGGACTTCCTGAGCTGTTGAACAGATAGAAGCAAAAAGGACTAATGGAGAATGTTTAAAAGATGTCCAGAATTATCTTATTGTCTCAATGACAAGAATAAATTTTTGCACTAATTTCATCATTTGTTAGGTCAGTCGAGCATGCAACTCAAACATCAAGATGATTAAATAAAATCATAAGAAAAAAATGACCTTAAGTTCTGAAACCAGTTTTAGCATTATTGTACTCCTTCAAGTAGCTGGAGATCCACTGATATCATATTGCCAAGAAGTTTTACACTCACTACCATTAGACAGAAGTTTTGCCAACGAATAAAACTAAGCCAGTGGTGAACTGTAAAATTTTCCTCTTACTTATCCATAGTATATGTCCTTTTTCTAAATCATGGAAGCATGGTGATTTGCAATACAGATTGGAATATGCAGCAGATATGCTCACTATGCAAGAAGAATGGGAACTCTGATTAGAAGTTTTCTCATCAGTTAAAAAATGCACGAGCTTTCAATTTCTCCAGGGCAATTACATTGACTTTCATACAGCTTGACCAAGAGAGTCGTCTTGGCCCTTCAAACAGAAGACATGAACAAATACTCAAGTGAACCATGTAAGTTGTCCCATGCCTCTGCCAAAGGGTCTGGAATACCCAGATTTTACAAGACAGAGAACAAGTCTTGAATACAACTATGCAAAAAATGTCAGTCTATAGTCACTGATCTGTATGTACATTTGACTGTATAGCAAAAAATCCTCCTTGATACAAGTTACTGCTGGAACGTCACAAAGTCAAAACAGACCTCGGGTAGAAAAATGAATTATTTTCTGATTGAGGCATCATCAAGTGTCAATTAGGAGACAACCTGGGAAATCCCATCATCTTCAAATTATGCACTAATTTGTACTTGCGTAGTCTCTAAGGACAGCATAAAATTTGCATGGATATGAATGTAGACATAAATTGTGGACTGCGAGTTTGAAAAGGTGTAGGGAAGTATTTTGCTGGCAGTGGCTTTATTAGTGATGATGCATGAAGCAGAAAGAACTTGGATGGACTTGCGGATTCACAGGCTGGTAGTACAAAAAACTAACATGGTATAATGGAGAGATGATGAATGATGCTCTCCTCAGCACCATTTTTGAAGTACCACTTTTCTAAGTGGGACTACATGTAAAGTTTGTCAGCTAAAATGTGCTTTATAGCATGAAGGCAGATTTCTATCTCTGTCTATTACAAAGTATTGTACAGCAGGGCTGGCCCTGCTTGCTTGTTGATTACATATAAATGCATATTATTTAAAACTCCATCTCAGAGCTCCATCTCTAGAATCTGGAATTTACTTGCTTGACTGTTTAGACACCAATATTGTAATTCCAGGCAATGTCACAGTTATTACAGAACCCCCTGAAGAGAACTAGAGACAAGCTTTTAAACCCCAACAGAATAACTGGGCCTGTCACCATCGTTGGCTACACCATGCCACAGTGCAGGAAAATCTAACAGAGCAGGCTCAGGAAAAGCTTTATGAAGTGTGACAAAGTGAAGATCCACCAGGGAGTTCATTTCAAATATAATCAGTTTTGTGTATGAGATCTGGAGTTAGTTGCTTGCTACTCTTAGGTATGAGTACATGAACACAAATGGCACAAACTTGCAAAATAAACTGTGATAGGCCTTCTAATTACTTTTAATTACTTAAGTCAGTTTGATGGTTTTCCCAGTTAATAGAATGAAACAAACATAGAATAGGCTCAATTTAACATGCTAGAAAGTCAGAGTAGTAGCACTACTTGCTCTGGCCTATTTGGGCATCTTGAAATATTGGGAATTGAGAAAGAAGTTCTAAGAGAGCAAAATTAATAAATAATCAATTATAATAATTAGTAAAACATCAATAAATAAGAGACAACCCAAAGCAACACTTGCCTGTATTAGAATCAATACTGACTTCCGTAAAAAGATAAATGCACTATGTAAATCCCATCTACATATTTCCTATCTTAATTCTCTAAAGATTTAAACCAGATATGCAAATTTCAGCGTATGAAAAAGGAACTCTCTATTTTGGACAAATTTTTATTATTGCACGTGGCATAAAGATTTATGTAATCATGAAGCTTTAACCAAAATTGGTTTCATTATGCTGTGCTTCTGATTTCAATATGCTGGATTACATAATAGTAGAGATTAATTTCTTAATCCATTATACACCAGTTCTGTGCTTCAACGAATCTCTTTTGAAACACAACTTATCATCAATACCTACCAAAATGACCTTTTCAATGTCCTTGGCTGGACACCAATGAAACATCCCTGTAGAGTCATATTTTTTCACGTTGGCATCCATATTGTCAATCTGCTCATTGCCAGGAATTAACAAGGGGTCATGCCTGGGGAAAAACAAGTTGAGGACAACATAAATGGAAAATATTATGAATTATGGATGGAAAAATATCCCAAGAGCTGTGTATGAATAGGGATAAAAGTAAAAAAATGAAATGTATTTGCACTTTAACATGCTTTCAATGAGGACATTTTTAAACAAAAACTGTACATAAAAGTTAATTTCTAAATTTTGAGTGCAGTTTCAAAGATTTTCTATACTCTTTCTATACCAATAACCATTTAATTTTAAATAGAGTTTTCTGACACCATCATGATCCTTAAATTTTTTTTTTTTCTCTCCAGGCCCACCCCTCTGAAATAAATATCAGAGCTGCTATAGGCATCTGCAATGAAGTAGAAGGGATAGGAACAGAGCCCCATGCTGACTGACTGGCATAAGTACGGAAAGCCAATTACTTGCTTTTACCGCATACAACTTCTGACGTGATGCTCTTCACAGTAAAAGCTTTAACAGGCTGCACTTTAAATATTTTAGCAATTTGCCCAATCATATTTTGCTTTCCCAAACTGAAGCCCTTTAAAGATTCAAGAGTATGTCATTTTGGAGCACACTGACTAACAAATGCCCACATCTGGAATACATGATTTTAATACCAAACAACAATGTCCATTTGCTCTGACAACTCTACCTGTGATAACCTTCTAAGTGTTTTTGCAGCAAGATTTTAAAGCACACGGCTTCTCAAAGGAGAAGCAAATGAAAGACATTTTTATAAACTTGCTTTCCAGCTATATAACTACATCTAAGCACAGATACATACAGGTTCTTTAATTTATATGCTAAAATCAAACATTAAGCTAAGTACTAAGTGACTCCAACGCTCTCGAATGCTAGTGAGGACCCCTAAGTGACTGCATTATACAATAGCATTAGGAGAATTGTGTTCACAAGGCACAGGTTAAACTGATCCTCAAATCTTACATTTAAGGAGGGAATTGAGTTTTGTCTGGAAAGCTACAGTCTTTACCTCAGATTTTTATCATGAATGCTTGAAATATGCTGATATAGAATTGCAACATTTCAAGGAAGAAAATATCTGCAATGTAGGAATATGCTAAGTACTCTGAGACAGGTATCCAAATTTTTAAGAAGTTTGCCTTTTAAAGCCTGTTAAAGAAAAGCCCATATTGTCTGAGCTCTTAAAACTGCAAAGTTTTCTGCTTTTAAAGCATTTGAGCCAGCATACTGTGGTAAGAACCTCTATTCTGTATCATCTACTAAAGCAGACTGTGAACACAGTGTAAGATATAGGTTAATTTACCCTGAATATAGCACGGTAAATTACCATGCAACCAACAGTTATATTTGCATGCCTGAGAAAGGTATAATCTTGCATTCCGTCAAGGTGATTAATTAGTGTAATTTTATAATCACTGATTACAGACCCATCGAAATCACTGTAAAATTCTCACACATTTCATTCAAACAGGATCAACTCCAAAGAAAGTTTGTCAAAAAAAGTTGAGAAACTATTAATACAATGTTCCACTTAAACAAGAATCTTTTGATACTTTAAGACAATCAATGCACTACATGGCAAAGGCATAAGTCAGAGTCATCTGGAAAAAAGAAACACTATGTTTTCAAAGTTGAAACTGGCAGCAGAGAAGCCTCTAGGGGATTACCTGGAGTCTCTGACCCTATTCCAGGTTTAATAATGACAGGCCTTGCATAAGTGTGCTATCTCTCTTGTAGGAAGCCGAGATGAAAAAGCTGTACCAAAGGGGTCTATTGTGAGGGTTTGGTTGAGTTTTTTTGTTTTTGTTTTTGTGGGGGTTTTTTGTTTGTTTGTTTTTTTAATTTCTAGAAAAAATATCTGGACTCTACATTCTCTTACTCCATTCATCAGCAACCTGCAGCCATGGTAGTTTGAACTGAGAGCCAACTGTGATACTGTTTATTGGGCATTCCCCGTCTTCTCATAGTTGCACGTGTACAATAAGGTCTGCAACTGTGAACACAGTAACATTCGAAGGTTGTCCTAATGCTCAGACAACATTTAGTTGTACCCTGTCCTAGCTATTTTTTCCAATGGAATGGGTCAGCTACATGTTTCAAAATAAGAAAGTTTGCCAAAAGATTAGGAATCTTCAGGAGTTTCCACTGAGAAATGTTTTCCTTTCTGTTGCTTCAGGGTTTATGGTTTTTTACCCCCAATACTTTCACAAAACATTTCTTCATGAGTTTTCCTAGAAGAGCACTGAAACAAAAGCAAAGTTCACTGACAAAATCACCTTCTTTTCCTTTCAGAAATCAAATGCATATAAGAAGGAATTTTCTTTTTCCCCCATCCTTTATCAGAGAAACTATAATAAAGCAATTTAAAAAAATGCCTCATTCTAATTTTCTAATCAGTGTTTCTTTTCTGGTCTGAGATATAAAACTAAATAGATAATCTGAAGCTTTAACACACATGAGTACTTAGCAATACTCTAATCTCAGCCACAAAAACAATGCACAAAAATAATACAAATTGAAAGGAATGTTATAACAAAGCAGGTGGTAACAGATATTTGATATTTAATTATGGTCAAATGCCTTGAGGTTTGAGGCAATTTTTAGAGTATGAGTGCTCAAAGGCTAGTATAGTTCTTTTGGGCTTTGTGTCCTAAAAGGAATATTCAAAGTAGCTTGTGGCAAAGGTTTACTAGAATATCTTAGATTTAAACATAAGTGGGCTATGGAAAGGAAAAAGACTATGAATTGTCAGATCTAACTCCCTGTTGAAGTTTTAGGTAACAAATTGTGATTTTTTTAAAAAAAGCCTTAGTGTTTTTTTGTTGTTTTGTTGTTTTCTTTTTTTAATCAATACATGCACCTATTCACAGTATCATAAACTGTTTGGACTCTTTGCTTCACTGCTTGGAGTATAGCAAGGGGAAACTTAAAGGAGGCAAACAGGATGGGACACACAACAGGAAAGTATGCTAAGAGATACTACTATAGTACTTTTACTCTAGGAGAATGGATTATTGCCTGAGGAAACTGTGATAAGACTTAACCACACTGTATTTCAGAATCTGTGGGGGTTTACACATAAGTGTGTTTATTAACTTTAAATCTTCTGGGCTAAGATATTATTTTAATCTCTCTTTAATCAATGTTCATTCATTCTCAGTAAAGTGATTCTTTAAGATGTCTATGGAGGTTGAAAACTCTTTGCTACTAAGGTCCAACTTTGTCCTCAGATGTTAAAAGATATGTACTTATGTACTTAAAAACGGAATTGATCAGAACAGTAATAGAATAGTATTACTGCTTTGGACACATACATCCTCATTAATCTGATGATCTAAACCTGTTTGGCAAATACTAAAAATTAATTAAGACAGACATACAGAGAGGCCAAGGCTGTCAAATCTGCCTAAGGCGATTGGACATCCTCTTCCCATTAAAATTTATATTACACAAAGCATTACAGTTGTTGCCCTTACAGCCAAATCATGGACTGAATGTTTCTAGAGCCTCTCTGCCTCCTCACCCTTGAAGATGGCCCTGTCAAGCTGTGCTTGAGTCACACTGGCAGGTTACTGTAGAAATGCTTATATTTGTGCTGAATTATTATGGTCTCCCAGGCTGCAAAGTCATCTGCTTCGAAAATTCAAATCATAGGCAGAAAAACACCTAACAATTTAATCCACACTCTTTGTTTTAATTGAGATGACAGTTTTTGTTGTTTGCAATGACCAAAGCATTTGGTCACTCCATCTAGGAAAAGACAGGCATGTATAGCCTGTATGGGAAAAAAAGAAGAAAAGTTGAATTTCCTTCATCCATAACCCCAGTTTAAAAATAGCTTCCCTGGTTCTTATGGCAGATATTACATACGCATGACTTAAAATGAAGAGCAAAGTACCATCTTTTCAAGGTTTTGAAGAGCATATAATGCCACTTACGTGCAATTAAACTTGAAAACGACGCTAAATGCCATGCTACAGCTGCAACCCCAAAAAGCCTGCCTGGAAGAAAACAGCCTAAAGCAAAACCATAAATCCCACTGCCAGCAAACCTACTGCAAGGAAGTCAGCATTACATTTTAAAGAGAACTGTTTTCCTAGAACACATTTATAACTACTGCAAAATTGGAGTTTTTGAGCCTGAAACTTTTGAGTACTGACTGGGGATGGACAGAACTGAAAAGACCATTCCAGACTAAATGGTTGCCTCATTAAATTACTATTGTTTAGCATAACCTTGTATTTTGTCACCCTTGTCTTAACCCTCTTGCTATTTATATGCAATGAGGAACATACCCTCATTGACCTGCAGTGGAACTACTCAATGTGCTGAGCACTGAGAACAAGAACACTATACAACCAGTAGGGAGGACCCTGGTGCTGTTTAAAAATAAACTGTAGTCTGATAGTCTTTACACATCAGTAAGACAATGTTTTAGCTTCTTTTTATTCTGCCCTCCAATAAAATTCTCCTTATATAAAGTCAAGAGCAAAATACACCTGGGAAAAAACACAACTTCTCTCTAATCTGTGTTTGTTAAAATCTGCCATTATGCCTTTCTCAGGTAGATATAATGTATCTGGATTTTGCACACGAAAAGATGTTTAGCAGTCTTCTGCTCAAGATTCAGGGTCTTGAAACTCACGCTGCCTGTGGTTCAGGAATTTTGAGTTTTCCTACCTGAGTTATGTGGATGTATCTTTGCAAGAATGTGTACACACATACTTAATTTTAGGAGGAAGAAGAGGGTTTGCTGAAGGTAAAATAGGACTTGAAGATGCTAGAGAATGTCTCATGTCTTTAAAATTTCTCCTACAACTACCCTAACAAATTGTGGCAATTAACATGCTGTTAGTGTTAGATGTAAGCAGCCAGTGCAGGTGCTAATAATTGAAAAAGCATTTAGAGCTTTTACACCCTGGCTGAATATTTCATGATGTGCTGCATGTTTCACTATTTACTCAGTGGGCCTCTGTCACTTCAATCTTCTCTGATTGCTTTGACTGGTGCTATAAAGCTCAACCA